CACTCAGACCAATAGTCAGCTCCATAGGCTCACCTCTACAAAACCTAGCCAAATTTCTCGCCAAACAACTACAACCTTATGCAGAATCCATCAACTCACACGTAAGAAACTCATTCCAGTTCATCGAGATCATAAAGAAACAAAACTTACAACCTAGCGACCTACTAGTAAGCTTCGATGTCATATCCCTCTTCACCCAAGTGCCAATAAAAGAAGCCTTGACAGCCATCCAAAACAAATACAACCCCCCCAAGCACATCCTAGATCTAACCAACCACTGCCTATCCAATACATACTTCACCTACAATGGACAAAAATACAAACAAATAGAAGGAGCACCCATGGGATCACCCCTCTCACCTGTCATCGCTAACCTCTACATGGAACACTTTGAAACACAAGCTCTAGAAAAATACGACCACAAACCCAAACTCTGGCTCAGATACGTAGATGACACCTTCATAATCTGGCCACATGGGAAAGAAAAACTGAACAACTTCCTCACACACCTCAACAGCCTACACCCCAAAATACAATTCACCATGGAAACAGAAGCCAACAACCAACTTCCCTTCCTAGATGTCTTGGTATACAAAAGATCCAATGGCTCCCTAGGACACACCATCTACCAGAAGAAAACACACACTAACCGCTATCTACATGCACTCTCACACCACCACCCAGCACAGATCAATTCCGTAGCCAAGACACTCATCTCCAGAACAAAATGCTTAGCCGATGAACAACACCAAAAAACCGAACTACACACTCTCACCAACGTACTTACAGCCAATGGATTCCAAAGAAAGAAGATTACCCACCTAATCCAAAAAGAAACCCCAACCAAAATCCAAGACAGAGAACAAGAAAACGGCAAAGCCCTCCTCCCATATATAAAAGGCACTACAGACAAAATCAGCAAGATCCTCCAAAAACACAACATCAAAACAGCATTCTGCACAAACAGAAAAATATCTACCATCCTAAGAAACCCCAAAGACAAAATCGAATTAGAAAACCAAGGAGTATACGAAATCCCCTGCACTGCCTGCCCTACCACATACATTGGACAAACTAACAGAAGAATAAATGCACGCATTGAAGAACATAAGAACTCAATCAAAAAAGAAGAAACGACCTCTTCCCTGGTCCAACACCTCAAAGCCACAGGACATGAAATTGATTTTAAAAATACCAGAACTATCGCCAAAACCGAACACTTCAACAGCAGAATAATCAGAGAAGCCATAGAGATAGAAAAACGCCCACACAGCATGAACAAACGAGATGACACCTCCCGCCTTCCAGCCATTTGGAAACCCGCCCTCATGAACAGACGAGTACCTAACATGAAGAAGGACACCAGACCCACACCCATGAGAGCCACACAAGATGCCACCACCACACTTCCATGTAGAAAACAGACTCTCACCCACTCAGAAGATGAGACACGACCATGGACCAGAAGCTGCACTACAGCTGCATCACTACCCACTTCAAACCCCTCCGAGCCATACATGAAGCAAACCGACACCCACTATGAAGATGCAGAAGGACCACGAACTCGAAGCCAAACAGCAAGATCACAACTCACCAGCTCAAATCCCCCAGCAACTAAGACTAACCTGAGCACAACCAAGCCCCCACCTGAACAGAACACGCCTCCAACCAATCAGAACACGGCTAACCCCCCAACCAATCAGAACACAGCCAAACCCCCTACCAATGAGAACACACCCCCACCCAATCAGAACACAGCCAAGCCCCCACCCAATCAAGTCCCACCCCCACTGGCAGTTAAAAGGAGGAAGCAGCTGCAATCTCACATTACTCTGAGAAGCACAGAGCCGGAGACAGAAGCCTGAAGATGATGAATGAGACTTCATCGAAACGTTGCCTAGATACTTTGAATCTTACGCGGGAGAAAACCCGAACAACCAAAGATCCACATA